AAAAGAAATGTCATCCAAAATCAAGAGTAGCAGGTGATCATTTCATCACGGTGGGAGGCAGGATACAGAAAGGGCCTCTGGGACACATATATTAATGCAAAGCCAATAAAATCGATTGTAATCAGAAGGAAAAGTAAACCAAAAATATCATGAAGCATAAAGTATTAGCTTTACTTTGTAAAATCTTTAGATATAATGTCAAGCCATCAAGTTACTAGATCTTTTCATCAAACTGTATATAGGTGATGTGTTCTTTTAAAAATGATGATCAAGTTAGCAATTAAAATTATGAACATATTAAGTAAAAATGTTTTGTGACTTTCCATGGAGTTTCAAATTATCCAGAATTTGTAATAATCTGCTAAGAAATAACACCTGAACACCAGCTGTTTGAAAATCAGGTGGCTTGGTGAAACAAATCCACCCTGGGAGTCAGATTATTCAAAGAATGAATTAAGTCTTCAAACCAGTAACCAAAGAAATCTTACTTTAATGGTTAAAACTCAAATTCTTTGATTTATGCTATTTGACATTAAAGCTTCCCACAAACTTCTTAAACTTTAACCAAAAGGAACGTCGAGAAGAATGGGAATTACAGAACACTTCATTGTGCTCATGCCGAACCTGCTAATGACACAAAGGGCAGTCATTTGAATAGAGCAAAGGGATGTTGCATGTTTTAAAACCGGGAAAATTGTGCATCGACATTGTATCCTATCACCATGCTTATTCAATCTGAAAACTGAGAAAATAGTCTGAGAATCTGACCTAAATGAAGAAGAACCGGGACTGGAGGACATCCCTTCAACAACTTGTGATATCCCGGCGACATAATTTAGCTTATTGGAAGTGGAGGAAACTCGAAGCACTTGCTGGTCAAAGTCAAAGTCAGTCTTCAGTACGGATTCCAACTCAAAGTAAAGAAAACCAAAATCCTCACAACTGCAGTCAAGAAATGAAATTACTTTGGGCAAGTCCGTTGCATAAGACCTCGTTTGAAGAACAAGGATGTCACTTTAAGGACAAAAGTGGGTCTGACCCAAGCTCTGGTATTTTCTATTTTCTCATGTACACGTGAGAGTTGGATAATGAATAAGGAAGACCACAGAAGGGCTGATGCATTCAGTAATGGTGTTGATGGAGAATATGGAAAGTCTTGTGAACTGCAAGAACAAAGCAATCTGTCTTGGGAGACCTAGAGTCAAAATCCTCCTTCGAAACGAGGATGGCGAGACTTGGTCTTATAATTTGTGCATGTGATCAGGAGATACTGATCTCTAGAAAAGCACATCATGTTTAGTAAAGATCAGGAAAAAAAGAGGAAGATCCTTGCCCAGATGGACTGTGAAGACGATGCAAGCCCAGGGGTATCGCATTCCGTTGCACACATGGTCACTATGAGTCAGAACCTACCCCAGGGTACCTAAGCACATAACAAATGCATTTTTTTCATGAATATTTTAAACACTGGTCCTGTTGCATAGCTCTTATAATATAATCCTTCAAATGGAAAAAATGAGTACACTATCAGAGCTTCAACATCTTTTCTCTAATGAGCAAAAGCATATGAACTTCAAGTTATAACCAATACTTATTAACTCAGTTCAGTACCAATACATTACCTCAAAAATGTACTGCCATCAAGTCGGTGCCAACTCACAGTGACCCTAGAGGAAAGAGTAGACTTGCCCCTATGGATTTCTGAGACTGTAATTCTTTTTGGGAGCAGAATTTCCTGCTTCCTCCCATGGAGGTCTGGCTGTTTCAAACTGCTGATCTTAAGGTTAGCAGCCCAAGGCATAACCACTATCCTACCAGATCTCCTTGTAAATTACTTAAAGGTCTTTAAATTATCAGTGCACCGCAAAGCAAAATTACTGCTGAAATAAAGCTTGTTTAAAAAGTCTGTTTTCTTTCAAATTTATACTGATTAAAATGCAATTTAAGTTACTTGGAAAGGCTGATTTCAAGGCAGACAAAAACCTGCCAGAATGAATACATTTCATTAATTATTTATAACATCAAACTAATTTAATTCATATGCATACATGTGTCATAAAATCAAAACAGGGCTTTGAAAGACTATCATCTAATAATACCATCTGGAGGTAAAATTATAGCCTTATAAATGTTGTTGAAGGTCATGTTATACCAATCAAAGTAGATAATTTTTCTACCGTGCACTCTTCAAACCAGTTGCCTCAATATGAGTCACAGAAAACAATTTATTTGCAGCAGGGACGTGGAGTAGTCTAATGGAGGGAAAACAGAAATCCAGACCACATGCTCACTAGATAAAACAGAATCCTCAAGACAAAATCTCCAATATTTTCCCATGTGACCCACAGCAGATGTTGTCCAAACAGACGCCATCTTGGAGAAAGTGCAGATGCTCACTGGGTCACTGAAGTCCGTTTAAGTAACGAGTTTGTAAGGCTGCTGTCTATGTTTATCCGTAGCATATTCTATGTTACAGCAATTGAGAACGTAACACTCTAAGAATGGCATAAAATAAAGCAAAGCTTCCACACAGGTACAGAATAGCTACCAAATGTCCAGCTCATTCGATTAGGTTAACACCTCTGAAAATCACAAAACCCTCTTCTGGATCTAGCCCCAGAAGGCTTGCCTCGACAGTGGCCATGGGTTTCCTAAAGAAGTTACCATTCATTGCTTGACCAATCTTCAGAGGTGGCATTCGCCCTTTACCAATAAACAACACGTTTTTCAAAATGTGTTGGGATCTACTGATTTTCCCTCATGAGAAATTCTTGCAATATCTGGTGATACCTCCCAAAACTCAGAAATAAAAATTTGATCAAAACACCAAGATTCCCTCTGGCACCATCACTTACATATAAGGTTAATGTGTCAGGGTAGCCAGCCCCTAACAAATCATCAGAGGTCTGGTAGGCGCAATTGTACAGTGATAATAAGTAAAGATTACAGTAAAGTCATAGAGAATATGAGAGATAGAAGAGAGATTGAAACAATAGAGTCAAACACATTTTATGATAGCATGCTCACCTCAGCTCCTCTTGGTGGTATAGGGCAGGAGAGAGAGAGTGATTTATTACTAACCAAGGCTTATATATCTTTGGGGGATGTGCAAGCCCCCTAATTACAGGTAAAGGTATACATCACAGGAAAGGGTTGTACTATAGGTAATACAGTAACGGGAGGGCAGACAATCTAGGGGTATATGCACAATAGGAAGAGGAGAGATTGAGAGTATACATTGTGACAAGATGGGGGAATCCTAGATTCATGAGGCGGCCTAACCTTGATTGCCCTAGAGCTGGAGACTTTATGTAGCCTAAGCTTCCAGGGGAAGCAATCCACTGTCCCTACCAGCAGGGATTGAGCCAGACCTATTGTAGGAGAAACAATGGTGTCTGCTTGCTCTGGATGGCTGGAGTCTTCAGGGAGATAACTTGACAATCATTTACCATTTGTTGCAAGCAGTATCCTAAATCTAACATATATATTTAGGGGAGTAGAGCTGAGAAACAGTCTTTTTGTATCCCACAATAGTGACCCAAAAGCTCCTTGAAAATATAGTTTTCCCGAATAAACACAAAACCAGATTATTCATTTCCAGATTTTCCCTGGGTCACAAACACCTAGACAACAGACATGGAAGACCCAATCAAAGTCTGCAGTGAACAGACAATGTGTTTGCCAAAAGAACAAACAGTAACAGAATTGTCCTCGTGTGTATACTACATTAAACAAGTTTTTCAGGGGAAACAAAAGATATCAATAGAACTCATTTTCTCCAAGTGATCACTAGAATTACAAATAAATTCTAGTACATCCTATTTAACCTCCAAACCAGTGTCCTGGTCAGGGAAAAAGAAAAGAACATTGAAGAATCAAGGTTCATTTATCCTTTAGAATTATATTGAAACTTTAATAACCTAGGATTCTATATTGAAACCTTAAAAATCTAGGATTCAATAAAACTAGCAGGGAGTTGATCTGTGTAGAGAATTTAAAAATGGCCATATTCATTCTTCCAAATGGTTCATAGTGAGACTATGCTGTGCAGATGGGTACGAGCCTGTGGAAAAGTCAGTGCTTATTGGTATATTGGGCAAGAATTCCATAAGGGAACGCTATACTGTACCCAAATATAGTATTTCCAAATTTAAGAGGAAACATTAATTTGTTCAAACTGTAGGACTCTCGGACTCAATAGAACTGGATGGAGAATCACTGGGTCTGGCATTGCAGGCAGCCTGAGCTCCTTGCTCATACGCTGAGCTGGCCTATCCTAAACAAGAGTCTGTAACCACCTCTCACAGCTGATGACGGACTCACCTACCAACTTTTAAAGCTCCTAGCAGTGATTGACACAGAAAGAATCTCTGACTCTCTCACCAGTAGAAACTAACCAAAAATCCTTGCAAGAACCAGAACCCTTCATCACTGCTGATCAGTTGGGGTCAAAACAAACTCTTGTGAGTTGGGGGGTGGGGACTGTGGGGTGGTAGAGAGTGGCAAAGAACCTTTTATTAGCCAGAATTCAGCATCTTCAATTTCTCTTGAACTTCACAAATCTGCAGGTTCATAAATCAAAATTCCTATTGGTTCTGGAACATAATCTTGAGCATATGCAAGAGCTGCCTCTTGGAGCCTAATTTTACTTTCTTCCAAATGTGCCTGCTATTTTGGGGGATCATTTAGGAAACCATCAAAGGCATGTGTTCCTTGGTGTAGAGATAACTTTTGCAGGAAAACAGAATATTTTATCAGTTCTCAAACCCCGCAAAATACCCACAGAAGTAGGAGTCCCAGAAAGCCCCACACATGAGATTGAAAATCGAAAGATGCTTACTACAGGGAATAAAAATCCCAAAACCAAACCCACTGCCATTGACTCAATGCTAATTCCTAGTGACCTCCTGCGGATTTCCCCCTGAGACAATAACTGTTTACAGGAGTAGAAAGCCCAGTCTTTCTCCTTAGTTGCTGCTGCTGGTTTCAAACAGCCAACCATGCGGATTGCAGCCTACACCGCCAAGGCTTCTCCCTATGGAATAAGGTGAGGTAAAATGCCTTGCTCAGTCCCTGATCTGATCCTCCCAAATGTTCCGCTAGGAAAGACAGCTATGTCAAAATGTTCAGGAGTGAGGGTAGTGGAAAACCCTGAATTCAAATATGTTTTATAGAGATTCTGCTATTAATCTTAAACCTGACAACAGCAACGTGAAGACAAATCATCTAGATGGAGACAACAGCACAAGGTTGGAATGGCCTCACACTGCCTTCTGTGGATTGTGGCTGTGAACTCTACATTTAACCCCATTACGGTTGTTCCGATGACTTCATCCTCTGCCATTGGTCAGACACTGTCTATACATTATCTCTTTGGTCTACATCACTATATGAAATAGATTTTACTACCTGAATTTTATAGATGACCTTGACACCAAAGAAACCTGATATTACTTTTTTATTAAAGTTCTCATTAATTAAAATGAATACTATACTACCACCTGACTATACTATCACTTCTGACTTAGAATGATGCTATAGAATGGGGTAGAACTGCCTGATAGCGTTCCCAAGACTATAAACCTTCACAGAAGAAGTAAAAACGTCCACATCTTTCTCCCACAGAGTACCTGGTGGATTCAAACCAGAGACATTTGGAACAGCAGCTGAGCACTTAACAATTGTACATTTTGTTTAAACTCCTCATTAAATAGAATGAACACCACATTGCAGTGCCTGCAACGATGGGCTCAAACAAAGCAACAGTTCTAGGGATGGTGCACACCCTTCCATTGTGCACAGTCACTATGAGTTGGCGTTGACTTGATGGAATCTAACAATGTAACCTCTGAGCTGACCTCTTTCCTGACCTTCTTTAAAACACTTTACCCATCTAAAAACTGTTATTTTGTGTGGAGCAGCATTCTTGTAAACTTGTTGCAAAGCTTCAGTGATTTGGAATATCTACTTGAGTTTTGTTAAAAATTTGATATTAGTCCTAACCATTTTTTACGTGGCACAAAAAGTATCTTCAAGCAAACTGAAGACATCTTCAGTACACAAAGATAAGTGCATTGCTGAAAAAACTTCTCTGCAGTCGCTCACTTATCACAGAGAATGTTTAAAAGGGTTTCGTTTGGAATAAAGCTGTGCATGTATTTACTGAAATCCTAGTAGCAACGTTATTATTCCCCGCACTTATTCTTGTATATTCTTACCCTCATATAAAGATATATGTGGAAAAAACCTGTATATTTCAGTATATATTGAAGGAAATCAGAGTACAATCATCTCTGGGGGTTTAGATAGTGAGATTATGGTATAATTTTCTTAATGTCATAAATGTTAACATTAACATATTAAAAGTAAAAATGTAATTAAAATTGCTAATATCTTAATCCACTCATACTAATTAGAACCAAGATTTAAATGTCAGTATGAAACTCCTCAATGTAAAATCATTTTAGATCTTCAAGGAAATGAAAGTACTTTTAATCTCAGCCTCAAAATAATTCACTATGTGTTTCCCTTCTCCCTGACTTCGAGGGCCACACAGGAAAATCTAAAGGGCTTCAAGGACTGCTTATTCCATGAAATCTATAAATATTAGAGTTCAAGAATAAGGAATGATAGGGGCATACATTTACATGTAATTAGATAGCAGAGAAGGAAGTCAACTACTGGACTCAGATTATCCCCCTGAAAATATGACCAAGGTGGAAAGTCAACCCAGAGGCTGCAGAGCAAAACTTATCTCATCTACCCCCACCCCTTCCTCTCACTTGTCAGTGATGGAGGGTGCTAACAGAGAAGAAAAACACTTGTTTCCAAGAAATCCTTGACGATTTTTTAATGCCACTCACTGAATATTCATGCCTACTGCATAAATATTAATATTTATGAATTTGTCCAGTGTGTGACTGTGAACAGCTCACAGAAATTAAGTATTTTCTTTGAATTGTCACTCTTTAGATCAAAATTGTATGCTGCAGAGCAAACTGTTGGAAGCTGACCTTTGATGGGAAGCCTCAGATAACTTGCCAGGACTGATTCATCTGCCTAAAGAGTATTTGTCTAGTTTAGTTGATAATGGTGTATCCAAAATTTGGGTGGAGAAAAACTCATTTAGCCTCATTTTATCACTGCATTATCAGTTAATAACTCCTAGAGTAAAAAATACAGGGTACAGTGAACCCTCACCACTTCGCGCTTCGACTTCCGCGGCTTCGCTCTATCGCGGTTTTTGTGTAACAGCGCATGCTCTGTCATTACTGCCACTGATTGGCTCATACTGTACAC